AAAGAAGTACAGTAGTACTTTTATATAATCGCAGCTCTTTGAAATAGTTTTATTGATTTTTTTAATCTAGATAATATTTGTGTGTTTATTGCTATAATTTATCGCTAATATTTTGAAGAACTAAGTTTGATTAAATATTTACATTTTTAAAACGTTATTTCATCACGACAATTTTTTTGAACTAAATATAGCTCATCATTTAAGCTATACCTTTTCTATAGAATTTTTTTTCATCACATTCGTAGTTGATGTAAAGTTTTTAGGTCACATCATCACGAGCATATAATTCAATAATAAAAATGTATAAGAAAGACGAGATCTAATAAAACTTTTATGATACAAATAGTAGACCGACTTATAAATGTTTTCAGAATATCAGCCTTATTAGACTTCAATGTGTTGAGATATTTAAGAGATAAAGTGAAAAAACGTTATTCCGTCATCATTGAACAGGTTGTAATACTCTCTGCATATCATGAGTGATTTACAGTTTATCTATGATCGTAATTACACCTTTTATGAGCGTTTCCAGCAACGTAAACGTCCGTATCCTTGATGTTTTCACCAAAGGGAAACTTTTCTTTGAAAGTAACAATATTTCATAAAGTTTGATCAAAGATTGCCGGGATGGAGGAATCGGAATCTGTAATCGGTTTCCCGGAATTATATACTTCATTTCTCTGCCAAGCTACTTCTACCTCGGAGACCTTTGCTAAATTTTAAAAAAATAGTTTCCGAAAAACTCTTTTTTTTTTTTATGAAAAAATCAAGTTCACGAATTCTCTGTGGCTCCATTACCTGGCAACGTGACTATCTTATAGCGGTAACTTTCCACCACTGCGAAAAGAAAATTATATTTTGTATGATTACTAGTAGGTATTCAGGCATGTATTTATATGAAATCAATAAGCCGACAAAAATATCATCAGTATTTACCAATATTTTTAAAGTATTAAGTTGATGTAATTAAACTGACTCGGGAAAAACATCAAATACTGCTGAGCCAACGAAATAAGTACCAGTTGACTAATTTGAAACTGGAACTGGCGCTTTCCTAATCCACACTCACAGCTACATCCTGATTTCTCCTGTCCTTGATGTCTGAAGTAGATGATTAACAGACACGAATCATTCCTGAAATATTTGCAATTCATGGATACAAACTTACTCTGCATTCTCGAGAATGCACCATGCTACTACTACTGGCGTATCTAGGGAGTGGCTAGAGAGGGCATCGCCCTCCCACCGATAAGAAGGAAAGCTCAATAATTATCTTGAAATTTGTATCGCTTTTCTAGCATATTATATAACCCTAGGAATTCAGCTGGCAATGGATGGATGCGCCTTTCAGCTGGAATAGAGTTTTACTTGAAAAAAAAAATTTCTGTTCGAAATAAAAGGGTACGTATATGAATCATGATGTAATGTGTGAATTACCCAAACGCCAATCTTAAGTCTTTTAAGAGAAAGTTCACTGTTGGGTTAAAGTGGAACACTCATATACGTAGATGTCAAACATCTACGTATAAAAAATGTGTGTTAGTAGTTTCTTACTTGGAAAAACTCTCTTGATAGCAAATCATAAAAAGCTTAGCAAGCGGCCGATGTATATAACTCAGAAGAACTAAAGTTTTGCATATAAGAGAGATAAACTAAAACATACTTATTCATCTAAAATTGTTAGAAAGCCATATAAACCCTAACGACGATTGATTCCGCAGTTGCATTTCTTTGATGATACCGGCCATTTATGATTCGATTGGCCGATGTTAATCACAAATAACACTTAAGCTCAATTAATAGTTGAGCCAGGTAAACGTTTACATAAAAGACACAGTTCCTTTTTTTATTTTTTTCCTATGCATTAGATAATATTTTGAAAATGTACAGATGAGAACGAAAAAAGTGCTTAGACTGAAGTCAACAAATATTGTAGGAAATGCATCAAATTCAAATATTCAGGTTTGAAGCAAGTCTATTTGTGGAATGTAAATGAACTCACTGATGCTATGAAGTTTGTTACAAAAAATGAAATGAAAGCAATACTTCGAGTCAGTTTATAGTATATGGCGAGTTTCAGCTATGCATTATCTGTTTTGGGCAAAATTTAGAAAGATCGCGCAATTTAGCGTATTTTTGGGAACGTTAAAATTATAAAAGCCTGAAATAATTCATATTACACCCTCGAACAAAAGTCTTCTTCTCTTATGTCTTTTTATGCTGCCATACTTTGTATCAAATTTATTACTGACGAGGGAACATATCCAACTGATTCCGAGCTTTCGGCTTCATCTTTTGGCTACAGGTAGGCCTCAGTGAGACTAAGAAAACCCTAGAAGCGTTCGTTCCCATGGCATATTAGTGAAGAGTTATGGCCGTTTTACTGGATTTTTTACCCGGAACAGGATATTTCCAAAAACCTTAAAACAAATAATTTTGACCTGAAATTTTGCCTATAGATAGATCTATTAGTTATTAGAAAGTCCTGAAAGTTGCAAAGAAAATGAACGTGCCTTTCTTGAAATATTTAATTTCCAATGAACTTGGCAATTTGGTCCTCCTGTAATAAGAGGCTGTTTGTTTTGAAAAATGAATATCTCGAGAAAGACACGTTCATTTCCTTTAAAATTTTCAGGACTTTCTAATAACTAATAGATCTATCTATGGACAAAATTTCAGGTCAAAATTATTTGTTTTAAGGTTTTTGGAAATACCCTGTCCCGAGAAAAAAATCCAGTAAAACGGCCATAACTCTTCACTAATACGCCATGGGAACGAACGCTTCTAGGGTTTTCTTAGTCTCACTGAGGCCTACCTGTAGCCAAAAGATGAAGCCGAAAGCTCGGAATCAATTGGATATGTTCTCGTGAGCAAAGATATGACATGAGAGTCTCATTTATGTAGTCTGTACACTAAAATGAAATAAAACTTTTATGTCATATCTCTAGTCAGTAATAAATTTAATATAATACAAAGTTTAAAATTGTAAAAAGATAAAGAGAAGAAAGATTTTTGTTCGGGGGTAAACATCTTACAAGGAATTTATGCATGATTTTTTCATATATTTAATTCTTAAGAAAGAGTTAAAGAATTGATTTTAAAATGAAACGGTCAATATAAAATCAGAAGTTAGTATACGTTTACTGTTTATTTATCTATTCGAACCTTGATGGTCTAGAAATATGAGTGATCACTGTATAAAAATTTTCAAAAAGTTTTGATAGAAGGTTATATTTGAGACTTAAAATTTGGATTGAAGTCTCACAAAAATCTGAGCAAATAACTGCATTATTGATTCGTGATTATTGTTTTTTACTATACTGAGTGTAAGTTTTTCATTTTCATTATCGTCCAAAGAATTTCAAGAAGTCCAAATGGCCTGTAATACATAGGAAATACATGAAACTGTATAACTATATAATAACTAATGAATATAAGTAGATTCTCGATTTAAAATATATTTTACTTATACGGTCCTATTAATGATATTCACTTATTTTTTGTATATTATGGTAGCTGCTGCTTAGCAGACACTCATTATAAAGCAGCATCCAGAATGCACTTAAATGCAGCACCATAGTAGTTTCAATGCCAGCTATGATATAGGTTCAAATCTCGAAAGTTAATTTTGTCGCCTGATTGTCCAACGCGGAGGAAAGGGCGCTAAGGGTTGCCACGCTGTGATGCTGAAATAAAAGAGTAGTTACGCAAACAAAAGCCTTTTTTGACAGTTGGATGTTTCATTTGCCATCTATACATATCTCATTGTGATACAAGCTCTATTAGAGTTTAAAAAGAACATCTGCTTTCACCAAAAAAAAGGAACTTATCAAAACGACTGCACATAATCGTATGTCCGATATCAGACTGAGTGCTTTGTCATTATTAGGCATCGAGAGAGAGATATTATTGTTGATTATGAAAAGATAATTGATGCTTTCTCAATTCAGCATAAGAACCGTCAAATACTGTCGAATCGATTTTTTTGTTTATTTTCCTTTTTCTCTTTCTTTTGTTAATTTCATTTCATTTAATAAAAGAACAGATATACTGTTTTGTGTAGCTCACTAAAAACTAGGCAGTTGAATAACTTGATTTATGCTGAAAAAAAATTTTTAACGAAAGTATAGAGAGTTTTTGAGGACGGTAGGCACTGCCCTCTCGTCCACTATTTTCTCGATACGCCACTATTCGAGAGCCCTTTTGTTTTATGAAAAAAACAATTGAAATTCAACAAAATATTCATTCATCAAATCATATATCGTTGACTACGACTTACAACAACATTGGTGACGCGTACTGACCATTGGGAGACTATTCCAATGCACACTCATATCTTTAAAAGATACTTGGGATCGAGCGAAACCGTCTTCCTTCAAAACATCCAGATTTGGCTTTAATACACAACAACATAGCAAAAGTATTCGCAGATCTCCATGAATATCACTCAGTCTTAGAATATATGGAGCGTGCTGGCGATATCGCTCGTCACTCTTTAGTTTCAATGCACACTGTGATGTACAGATGTTTCAAGAGGGTAGGTGTGGGTGTGGATATTGCTGAAGAGAAAATCCAGGCACTAACTCACACTGACACTCCATTCATAGTTCACAGTCTCACCTTCGTTATTCTTGCATTTGTGACCGTTATTATCATCCCCATCCCTCGTTCTCGTGTTTTCAATTGCGTCCACAGTACTGACGAACGACAAAATGTTTGAGATACCCATGTTGCTCATTATCTCTGTTATCTCTCTTCTCGATATACCTGTGTGTCAGTCAACGAATAAATAAGTCGCATTATTTTTTGCTAAAAGAAAAATTGATCTATTTCAAATGAATGTTTTGTCGACAGTCATATTTAACGAACGGTTTTGGTTGCCAGGAAATGCAACTTGGAGAGATTTTGCTAGATTCGAACAAGAACAAAACATCAAGTTAACGAATCCAAAAGATCTTCTCTATGTTCTACCGTTGGCCGGTGTAATTTATGTAATACAAATGCTTTTCAAAAGGTAAAAAATTGATGTGAAATTACATTATATTGAAAGTTGCTTTTTCTTAGATATGTTGCGGAACCAATTGGCCGATCACTTGGTATTCATGATAGAGTTGCAAGAAAGACAACGGGAAATATGAAAATTAAAACAACAAGGCCATCATTACCGAGAAGTGGTCATTCACATTTTAGTCCGCTGGCTAAATTTGCTGAATCTTGCTGGCGTTTTACCTTTTCTATAAGTTCATTTATTTACGGTGTTGTCATACTTTACAATGTAAGTATATAGATCTAAGCAAGTGTATTCATTCTTTATATTTTCAGAAACCGTGGTTATGGGACACACGTCTTTGTTGGTTGAATTATCCTAACCACCCTCTATCTGCAGACATCTTTTGGTACTATATGATTGTACTTGGTTTCTACTGTTCACTTTTATCTTCGCCGTTTCTCGATGCTACACGGAAGGTATGAGCATAAGAAAAATTATTTTTTTTAGCAGAGAAAATATTTTTATGAATGTTTTCTTGGTAGGACTTCAAGCAATTGTTTACGCATCACATTGCTACTATAATGTTGCTCTCATTTTCTTATGTTGCTAATTTTGTGCGTATCGGCTCACTCGTACTTGTCCTACATGACTGTGCTGACTATTGGGTCGAGGTTTAAATTCTGTCAAACAAAGATCGTTCCTTTCTTTTCTTCTAATCGATCGAGTCTTTTTTTTAGATCGCCAAAATGACTGTCTATGCGGGAGCGAAACGGATCAGTGATGTTGCTTTCGTGATATTTGCCATCATCTGGTTTGTCACTCGTATCTGTTATTATCCGTATAAGTAAGAGAATCAAATAATTTTATTCACTGAATAATTCATACTCGCCTCTAGAATACTCTACACGACAACATTCGAAGGTGTATCGATTTTGGGCCCATTTCCTGCCTATTATATATTCAATGGACTACTATTACTTCTTTATGTTCTTCACTGTTTGTGGTTTTATCTCATCTGTAAAGTAGCTATCAATACTTTGAAGACTGGTGAGGTACGATCATCAATCTACTTCTAATTACCAGCTAAACTTGAGATTATGAGCAAGCATACCAACCATGTAGTTAGAATAAGAGAGAGAAAAAGAATTTTCATTTACTTGATTGTGACGTTATTTTTTCTTTTTACTTTATTACAGGTAAAGGACATACGAAGCGACAATGAAGATAGCGATGATGGTAACAAGGACAAATGATTCCTACTCTTGCTTCTGATAATGAACGATATCAAAGGTGTTTTTCATATTGTTATTGTAGTACTTAGTTGTTCGAAAAATGATTCGTCCTGCTGTTTTACAAACACATTCGTTTCAATCTTCATCCCAGAATAAACGAAAAACACTATGCATAACTTGGTCTGCGGCCATAAAGTGTTATGAAAGAACCAAAGGTGTGAATGTGTGTAGGTGTGAGAGTAGGTGCGGGATGAATCTGACTGCAGGGTTGGATGTAGATATTGTCTTCATGTACATCCATACTGCAACTGACTCTTTTACTTTTTACCATCCACTATAAAGCATGCTAGACAAGCAGATTCACTGTTGTTAAAGTTATAGACGTGATTTTCGCTTCTTGTATAGCGCTATAGAGAAGTACAAAAATTGGTGTTGGATCTGCCCTGTAATTATTGCAAAGATTCCCTATGGTCCACATGAAAAAAAAAGTATTTTTCAATTTTTTTAGCAATGGTTTATAATATTGTAAATCTGACTTCACCACTTGATAAAGCACATCGAGTTCTACTTGGAGCACGCATGAGAACATCTGAAACAGTTTCTGAGCGAATCGATGCAGGAACTACTCGAATCAGGTGCTAATTTCACCTACATTTACACATCAATATATTCTCTCGCTCTTTTGGCATATAAGTCTATTCATAGAATGGGTCTAGCAAGAAGAGCAGAGAGGGGTCGAACACATATCTCACTCGGTGTGGTGCTCTGTAACTGTCATCTATATTAGTGTTTCCAGTCTTTTTTTTAATTTTCGTTCTTCCACTCTGCTATAAATTCCTATAAAAAATGTTGCTTCATTCAATAGAGTATATCTCAAAATATATTTATCAGTATTTGAATCAATGTGAAAATGAATTGCGTTTTTTCATCTAGTGTCCACTCGAATACACATTGTGGAAGGAAGAAGTCAATTGATGCAATTTTTGTTTTGACGTCTCTTATGAATGTATGACAATTGGACATTAATTAAATTACACATGAATTTTATGATACTGTTCGTCAATTTGATAAAGAGACGTAAATCAAATATCATGGTGGACTGATCAAACAATTGAAAAATTCAATGATTGCAAACAATATATTATTGAACGGTGTAGTCCTTTACCGTGTCACAAATTCATACGAATGCTTCTATCATTTTACAATCATATTTTCGACTATTATTATTATTATTTTGTTATATAGAGTAATGATAATCAAACACAAGGTGAAGATATTTCTGACAATAATGGATTTCAAGATAGATTCTACGTATGTAGATTAGTTAATTTAAATATAAAATACTATATATATATGTTTGTAAAAAAAGAAGCTAATACAGGCTCATCTATAGAATTCTATCTATATTTGAACATACACATACAGAAATAATGAAAAAAAATGCCTGCTTTGTTTTTCTTTGATTAATTTTATAGTAATTTAAAGTATAAAGAAATTTAGTAAGCGGAATCATTGAATTTGAAATAAACCTTAGAATTTATTTCTTTAGGAAAACCAAAAAAAAAGAACAACTTATTACACAAATAAAACGAAATATGAAATCAAAATTCTACATATTCGACTTCATAAATCACTAATTGATAAGAAGCTCAAGAATGACTTTGTTTTTTATTATCCATTTGCTAAAAACTAACCAAACGGTAGAGAAGTGACTCGTAAAAATATTTATTATTTAGCATTCTCAATATATAAATGTTGTCACAACAACATGACACATTTCGTTACTAATTATGTTTTCTTCATATTTATGTTCTTATTCACATTGCCAAATCATTGAATCAAGTCGATGTTCAAAGAAATGTACTTTTCAATGTATACAATTAAACTATTCATTTCTATCTGATTATTTTTCAACATAAAAAATGAAATGGTGATATTAATCAACGACGTATGTTTCAATTGGCAATTGATTTTGCTACAGGTCTTATTAATGGATCATTTAATAATGAACACCAATCGATTTTAAGAGAAAATAGACTTTTAATTGGAATTACTTTTTCATTGAATGTTACACCAATAAAAATAAATATTCAATAAGATTGTTCCGTACCTGATGATTGCGATCTCGATTCGTACGTTAAACCTTATCATTAAATTGAGCTGCAATAAGTATACAACTTCTTCATGAAAAACCTGTCTCTTGTTTTTATACGAATGTGAGTGTAGGTAGGTGTGAGTGTTGATTGAGAGAATGAATGTTATCCCTACCCACATCCAAAATGTACATCAATACGAAAAATTGTTTTTTGAATTTTCTTTTCTTTTCTTTTGGTTCTTATGCAGCTATGGAAGTAGCTGGAGAGAAGAAATAAAAAAACTGACTGCAGCATACATTGAAAAATCTATTTGAATAGACAAATAAATATATATATTTCTGTATTTTGTATTATACTTCAATTTAGGCATTGTATAAACAATCAATATACCAGTTGGTGTTACTTATATATATAGAAAATTTGATTTTTCATATTTTAGTGTTCAATTATGTTTTGAAAGCGTTTTAAAACTCATCCTGTTGATTGTTGATAGAAAGATGTAGCTAAAAAGTTAGAAACTCAGATTAAATTGAGACAAGCTGAACAACATTTAAGAACACTAGAAATAGATTTTGTTGAAAGCTTAGAAGAAATAATTACAATTAGTAAAATCGCATGTCAGCAATTTCTTTTGTGTTCCTTTTTAATGAAGATTTCGATTTTAGATTTCTCTAAGAACGAGATAGTAATTTGAAAACTGAACTTTATCATCAAAAAGAACTAAAGATTGCTTTAGATAATCAAATACTTTAGTTCTAAAAGATTTTGCCGCATAAAATGCGTGTGCGTGTAAGTGCAGATGACTGTAGTTTAGAACAATAGAAAATCTATAACTTTATCTGCATCCACACTCATCTCTGTCCTTTATCTATGTTTGAAAGTCGAAGCGAACAATATGGGTAAGCTGCGCATTTTTTGAAACGGTGATAACCTGTTGTTTGAAACATCTGATCCATTTACTATGTCAACTGAAGCTTTGATCAACACACATACTTTCTCTTGCTCTTTTTCGCCGAAAGTTTATGTGCTTGCACTGGGCAAATGTGTGAAGCTCTTTTCTATTGCATAGAAACAGTAAATGATAAGAAAATAGAGAATAGTGCAACTGGCTGACTGGCGGTCGTTGGCTTTTCTCGAGTTACAAAAACAACACAAAACCGACATTCAGGTATCATGATGCTGCATCAGCAAATTTGGATAAGGATTCTGTGATCTTGCCGACGCTCCTACGAAAGGAGTACCGCGAACTACTGCTATGCTAAAATGTGGGTATTGAAATGGGTCTTGGTGACAAGAGGATTGACACGGTCATTCACAGTCTAGGACTATCAGTCTCGTACAAATTGTCTTTTTTATTTCGTTTAGCGTTGTTTCGACTTTGTCTTTTATGCACGCTTGCTGATGCAAATAGATGTATAGGTTACTCTGCTTATACTGCATTATATTACTGTATGCAAACTGAAGAGTTACAAGTGTCTTCAAGACAAGAAAGGACAAAATATTATTTCTTACTCATGACTGTGCATCAATCTTTTTGAAGTCAATAACGGCAAGCGTGAGGGTGAAAGAAAGAGAAAGAGAAAAAAAAGAGGGTAGTTTGGGTAAGAGAAAAAGAACAAAATAATAATTCAGTTGTATACGCTGATATGTCGACAACATCCTTCGCATCCTATAGTGATAAATTGCGTCAAGCGGCTCAATATCGAAATGCGGCTAACAGGTATGAAGTTGAATGAATTATCACATTGTCTATGTTTGTTTTCAAAACTTCAGATATTCACAAAATTCAAAGAAAAATGTGACTTTATTAGTCGGTCAACGTGCGCCTGATTTTACCCTTTACAACACCTATCATCAACAAGTATCTCTTCACGATTTAACCGCTCATTCTAATGTTGTTCTTCTCTTCTTTCCGTTGGCTTTCACCAGTGTCTGTACTGCTGAACTATGTTCGGTTCGTGACAGTATGAGAAAGTATACACGACTCAATTGTACTGTACTTGGTATATCGGTTGATTCAATATTCGCTTTGAATATATTCAAACAAGAACAACAATTCTCATTCGACCTATTGTCTGATTTTAACAAAGAGGTGGCACGTGCATACGGTGCACTCTATGAACAATTTCCGTTATACGGCATGAAGGGTGTTACGAAACGAGCAGCATTTGTTATTGATCGCCGTGGTACCATTCAATATGCTGAAGTGTTTGCTGATCCAGGACAAGTGCCCAATTTTGTAGCAATAGAAGCGACTTTAGCTAAACTAGAAAACAATCAAGTTTCGGATGATTCTGATGGTTCTGATCTCTCATCTTATTTAACAAGCTTATTAAACCGATTTTTACCTTGAAAATAAATTAATCGATATTCGATGAATCAGCGATTCGAAACATCAGAGAATTTTCTCAAGTAGAAACAGAATAGCTAGACACCTATGTACTGTGTCTACTTCTTGAACAATTGTATGCATGAACGTTAGTTTTCCCATTCGGTCTTTGAACTTCCCAAAAATACAAGTGTGAGCATCTTGAGTGTGGACGGCTGGACAAACGAATTCTAACAATAATAAATAGAAAAGGAAAACACAAATAGACAGTAGTGTCTTGTGGAAAATAGGTATGAGAGAAGAGAAAATATACACCAACACTCATACACACCACTAAACATTCGTATGAAATCAACATTATTCATGACAGTTGAGCTATAAAAACATTGTGTTAAGATAATCTTCAATTCTTATTTACTAAAAATTGGTCTTCTGCTTTTTTAAAATTCAAATGAAATGTCATATTTTTTTATACAAACAGAAATACATGTCAGATGAGAATCTAATATATTCATTGGTCAGATTCTACTATTTATCTCTTTAGTTTATCTTAATTTGAAACTGTAAACAGCAAACGATTGTTATTTTTTACATCATTAAGTTATTATCAATATGATCTGAACATAAAACATAATCTTGATAGTGGATAGGATGTACAAAAATAGATCTAGTTAGATGATATTCTACCATTTTTTTGAATGTGAAGTTTCAACAATTTTCAAAGAACCACTTTTCGATAGTTTTATCGTGAAACTTAATTGAAAACATCTTACTTAAATGATTTACTTTTATTGAAATCATCATCATAGAATTCACGTTTACAATGAAGGAAAATATTGATAAACATCTTTCGAAAAATTTCTTGATTGTTCAACAATCAATCGTTTCACTTTCGAACAATTGTATCGCGTTGCATCTCTTGTAAAGTTCATTGTTACGGTTTTCAATTGATTGTAATTGACTTTTAACTCAGTTAGATTAGGTAGACATGTCTTTGTTTCGAGTAGAAATTGCGTAACATAATCTATATTGACATGTGTGATATCAAGTGATATTAAATTAGAATATTTAATAACTGAACAAGATGGATTCTTGTCGGATTGATATTCACCGTGATTCCATGACTGCTCCATTTCATTTTTCAAAGAGAAAAACTTAAGCATTGGAAAATCTCGATTGATTCTCATGAAGAATTCATGATTCATTGGAACTACATCGTAGGCATACAAATGAGTTACAGTATCAAATCCAATAGTTGGAAACTGATTTGTTATGTTTTCTAGACGAGTAAATGTGAATGGAAGTGAATAAACATGATATATGGCCGTGGATGTCTTGACATAATCTACGATACAAGCCGTTTGTCCATATTTTATGTTTGTAAATGTTTCTCGAACATCATGAATAGATTTATGAGGCATTAAATGATGAATATAAATTTCGGTGTTTATATAGAAGATAAATGTATGAAGTTTAGGCATATGAACAAGAATTTCACTCTGAAGATGTGTACCATCAACGACGGATCGATTTAGCGTACGAATACGAAGATACAATGTTAAGTTTTCGAGATGTGTCATGCGACGAAGAAGTGGAACAACTAACTCGTCATAATGAAAAGTAACATTATAACTTGTTAATGAAAAACACTTCAAATTATGTAGTTCATCCTATAAAATACAAAAAATGTTTTATATATGTTTCTTTCAATACTTTTTCTATTTCCTCAGATAAACAATATGCAATAATCGTATCGAAAATAATTTCTACCATGCAGCTGTCATTTTAGGAAGCATTCGAATTAATAGAAAAATTTCTTTTTGAAAATATTTTTATCGGTTTCGCCTAAATCAAACTAATTTATTTTAATATTGAGAAACGACTGAATAATCTTTTCTACTATTTGTTCTGAAAAACGAGAAAACTCGTTTGTTTTTAATTTTTCGATCAAATAATTTTACTCAGTAGTTAATAATTCATTTTTAAACAATTTCATGTGATATGAAAACAAGTACAAATATATTTTTCTAATAGTTCTATAATGATTAAAGGGTGATTCCATGGAGTTTATACCACTTTGATGGAAGTGGTCTTGGATTTTCATTTTCGTCTTCTAATTCACCCGAAGACAGTCTGAAAAGCATCCAGCAAAAAAAAATTACGAACTTGTCCAATGAATAGTGAGCACCCGTGGACAACACGAGGTACATGTACAATTTTTTTATAGTGAGATTTTGTTCCATATATGAGCTAATCCANATTTGTATCATATGTATTTGTATAGTAATCATAACGATCAGCTGATTAGAACATTTTTGACAAGGTTAGTTTACATTAGAATATTTTTAAGATAATTAAAAATAGAAATTTTTGTATGAATAATTAGAATAAAAATTTCTTTTACTGTATATCAACAGAATTTTTTGCATGAATTGAATATATAATTTTTTAAAACTAATGAATAGAATAAAAATATATCTAAGTGTATATTAATAGAATGATCTTCATAAAAAATAGAGAGAAAATCTTTGTATAAGCGAAAGAACTGAATCTTTTACTGCATGACAATAGAATTTTTATGTTTTGTCTAGAAATGAAGTGTAAAGTATTGAACACAATGAAAATATTTTTCACTGGATCTTAATAGGGTTTTCATCGCACGCACTTAAGTCACAAGCGTTTGTTTATATTAAGAGACTATAAAACTCTTGCTGCATATATATAGAATATTTTTCTTTGAATTAAATAAATATTTTTTTAGAGCAATGAGTAGATTAAATAAAATTGTTGAATAGTTATAAAATAGTCTTCGAAAGATATAGATGAGAAGTCTACATGAGTGAATAATCGCGATCTTTTAATGCATGCTTACAGAATTTTTGATAAATGATTAAGGAATAAAGTTTTTCAAAAGTGAACAGAATAAAATCTTTTTATCGTTTGCAAACTTTATCTATCATTTTTAGGATATAGATAGTTTTTTCATCGCTCCATTCTTCGTGTAATGTATTAGCAATATAACTAAATAAAATAATTTTAAGCAATTAAAGTTTAACGTTCGTTACCCCTAGATATACAATTACGACTATTTGTATTTTAGATCCTCTTTCCATTTGCTATTGAAAGGCAACAAATTAGTAGTACATGAAATCCATAAAAAAATAAAATAAATCCACTAGGAGCAGCAGTAGAAAGTAATCGGTGAATAATTGAGTATAGGAGTGCTATAAAATACATTGCAATTTTTTTCAATATTGAATACTAGTTATTTTTTATAAGGAAATTTCTATGTGTACTCTCACAGTTATCAAAAAAAAAACGAACAAGAGAAAAACGATTGTTACATATACAGGAAATGAAAATAACATGCAAATTCTATTAAAAAAATGTGAAATATATTTAGAGATATAGGTATATTTAGCAATCCTTTTTTTCTCTTGTTGTTTTTCTTTTTGATAACTGTGAAAGTACACATAGAAATCTCCTAATGAAAAATAACTAGTATTCAATATTGAAAAAATTTCTATGTTTTATAGCACTTAAATACTCATTTATTAACCCATGAAAACGCGTTTAAACGCTTGTGTTTCCACTCACTATAACGAGCTCAAAGTCAAAAATAATTCAACTGTTAAAAAGCCAAAATTCGGACATTTGTTGAAAGAAAAAATAACGTTCGTTATAACGCGTTTTTTGCTTAATTTTGACTGCTAGGGTAGTACTTGTTGCTGTAAGAAAAGAATTCAATAGAATTATGACGTTTTTCTAACAAGAGAATGATTTACTATTTACAAAAAACATTACGATGCAATCTTTAGTTTAAAAAAAAGAATCGTTTATTCATGTCGTTCGAAATGCAAAATAATGCTTCGTTTCATTGTGAATACAGTTAATATGTTATTGTAAAAAGAAAAAGTATTAAAAGATCTTTCGTCTTAAACCATTTTTCTCATTGTTAACGTTCAGAAAACATGATTAAAAGCATTGATGTTTTATATAAGATACCGGGAATGCGAAATTTAAGTGAATTTTTTCTCGCTCTTTTGTGTATGATTTGATAGAGCTTGTATAGTTTTTATTTCGATTCGATCAGTATTTGACTAAGAAAAAACGTAACAAACTTGAATCATTGAATCTGCAACATTTGCAATAATGAACTCACTTTTTTTTCATAGAAACTGTTAAATTTCAATTACGTTCTCTTTTTCAAAGATTATGAAAATATTTTATTCTGATTCAGCATCAACAAATCAGTAGGAAAAGATTATTTAATTATATTTAGAAATAATAAGATTAACAGAATTCTGTTGAATATAGATACCTCCAACATGTATCATAGCATGTGTTATTATAAATCTATCTAGTATTTTGTAACGAGACATAGAAGCAAGGATCTTATCTCATTAGATTTCCCAGATTGTGAGGTGTAAGAGTACTTATCTAGTTATTTTTAGATTCTATTTTATTATTGAGAAAATTATATTTTTTTCTCATTTGCTTGCTAAACACAAGCGGTTTTTCATTCATTCCTATTTGATGTAGCTATCAAATACAAAAAAAAAACATTCCTCAACGATAAAATAGAATCTATAACAAGAAATATATACTTTTGTCGCTCACTATCTGGTAATTCTAATGATATATGATACTTGGTTTTATTTTTCGTTACAAAAAAACTAGATGGATTTATAAAAATGCATGCTATGAGGTATGTTTCAGTGATCTATATTTGATAGGACTTTTTAATCATATTGATTCTAAATCAAAATAAATAACATTAACTGTTAGCGTCTGTAGATGACACTCACTGACGCTAAACGTTTATCCATATGTTATCTCTTTCTTTGGGCTCTGTTATGATTTGTTGCGTAATTTTTCACCAATGACTGATTCTCGTGACTCAGTTGGTTCGGTTTTGTGTCGCTGTTGGTTTATGTTTGTTTTTTCCTGATTATTATTATTATTATCATCTTATATATTATTATGTTAAGAACTGATGATTGTTATCTTTTCTCCCTTTCGAAAAAAAATATATAAAATTATATTATTGTATTAAATTTATATACATGTTTTCAACGACAAAGTACGGCACAAAACTGTGTAAGCTCTCATATTAATAAAGCAGACTAGAAATATCAGCTCTACTGTATATTATCCCCAAACGAGAGGCTTACATTATCCTACTCAGTTTTTTATGTCGCATCAGGGTAATATATTTTCATAAGACTTGAAAAAAAAACAAGTTCTTAATTGTAAATGTTACATATTCATTCATTAGAGGTTTTTACGATTTTCTTTAGTCATATGCTTGACAGATCAAAATAAAAACTAAATATTCATGACTAACTTGTCCAGCTCTATCAAGTCATACACAGAAGAACGAGGAAAATATCTACTTGACTTTTGTGTTCTCTGCACTTTACTTCGATGTTAGACTACGTTGATAAAGTCTTCAATTTTCTTTTTTCTGTGGTACTCCACTAAAACCGAAACTGAATTAATCTATGCAGGCAACTATGAGTCTTTCCTATGTAAATGTGATTGTTTTGACTGCGAAATATGTATTTAATTACATGGTGCTAATAGCTTGTTCTAATTTTGAAGCGTAAGATATGACTGTGGTGTTTGTATTTAGTTTGCATCCTTACTCAAACTTTCATACAGTTTAGGTTCGTTTTTTGCTACATGAACTCACCAAACTGCTTGTCTTTGGGTATTATTCCGTTTTTCTGAAGGCTCTTATCTATATTTGAAATATTGTTTTTTTTTTCTCTATAAAAATACAAGGAAAAACAATATTTCCATTTTTCACATTGTCAGGCATCAAAATGAAATTACTTGATAAATTTAAGTACTCGACCGATACCACGGTAGCTTCGAATAACTCGCTTTTTTTTAGATGCTCTTCTGTTTTTTTTTCATTATAAATCCTGATAGTTATTTTGACACCACATCAACGATGTTTATACAAGAGAAAACAAGCTGAGACTGTGGCATTAGAAGTACATGAAATCATTGGAATCAGCTGTTCTTCCTTCGGTAATTCCCTGAGGACATCTCGAATTACTCATTCTTTTCGTTTGAATGAAAAAGAAGATCGTTTGCATAATTATACTAGTCCATATTGTGATTGAAAAGTTACCGCTACGTTATCCAGTAACATGTAACGAAGAACTAGTGAGTTTATCAAAGAAAGACTGTTTTAGGATGCTTGACTAAGAAATCAATTATAGGTTCCATTACCTGTTACTTGGTAACGTAACGGTGACTTTCTTTTTCTTATTCCAATACCAGAATCATTCGAAATCAATGAAATCATAGAGTCGACTTTTTCCATTGTACGTTTATGTAGAAATATTATTGATCTAATAAAACTATCTTGAGAAATGAGGTGAGAGAAAGGTGGAACTTAACTTGCTCTGCCCAATTAACAGTTTCATCTTGGTAAGTGATACCTAACGTGATTATTTCAGTGGTATAAGGGAATAGATGGTGTAATTGTGTTCGTTGAGTGTGGATATTTGATGATGAAAAGGTAGTCACCCGCATACTTCCATCCATGTTCAGAGTCATAGTCACACCCCATTAATTCTTTTTATAGATGCAATTTATGCAGTATATTGATTAAATGAGACTGTATGTATTATCCTCTTCCATCTTCATTCTTTAGTTTTATGACATAAGAGTAGTTAGTTCGTTTATCTTTGTATATTCTCTGCATGTTAATTACTTTTGGGGTGTGGATGTGGGTGTTAATATTCTCTTCATCAGTCCAATCCCACATCCATACCCATGGCGTAATAACGCCGTTATTCAATCAAAATCGACGACATGGGTAGAAAGAGATGAATCAATATGAAGGAGACTGAGATGTCACTTCTCACACTTAGTCGAATTGGGTAAAAGCCAGACATGGCTTAAGCCTTAAAGCCCCCGACGCATTAGAAGATCCCCCTCCTTTGATAATTAGGTTTTTAATGATTTCTGCAATGTAGCAATTTTTTAGCATTTACGTACATACGTATGCTAACATCTATCCTCAGTATGAACAATATTTTACTTTCGTTGGCTTACCGGTGTCAGCTGCGAGTGGGACAATTTATGAGAAAATAATAACAGGAAAGAATAGTTAAATAAAACTAGGCTTTTTTTTTATTAAGAGACATGCTCTGGGAGCACTTTAGTGGTTCTCTACACGCAAGCATACAAGGGATGAGAAAATAACGTTTTTATGAGTTATTTTAACGACTAGAGAGCACGCTCTGAAGAGTTCTTTTACATTTTTTCAACTAAAACGATTATTTCCACAATTATAGGACATGATTAACACGGCACGTGTCTCAACGTGTCATATATGAAGAGATTTTTCTCAAATAAAAACATATTCTGTAAGATTGATTTGTCTATCATTTGAAATCGCGCTCCGTCTATGCACGTTTTTATAGAGATTCAGGCTCATTTTTCACACCGAAGACCATATTCTTAACTGGAGAAATGTACCTTCGAGACTACGAATTCGGACGTATCCTATGAGGTACACCTTCTAGATCTGAGAACAAATTTCTTGTCGCAACAAGAGTGAAAGTTGTTTTCGACAGAGACACAAAGAAGTCTAAAAGCATCGGATAATGTGTATTCAATCGTTTTTTTTTATATAAATTATTTGGTCAGCATCACTCTTATTCATTCAAATGAGCTAAAAATTAATAATGGAGATCGCGATACATTCCAGTTTGACTGGATTTCATCTACACTAATCAAAAATTGACATAAGCCGCTGACTTACAAAAGATTGATTAAGAAAATTTTAATTTCTTTCTTTGAATTATTTATAAGGAACGATAAATGCTGCGAGTGATTTGCATTATTGTTTGAAAGCAATGCTGTCATAAATCGTACTGAGATTATAGTGCTTAATTTATTATATTGTTCGAAAAACATTCTTCTTATAAATGATTTGTTTTCTTTTTTTTGCGCTGATATATTATGTGTTTCTTTCTCATCATACAAACACAGATAAGTAACAATAACTTATTTACTAACTGTGAATTGAACATAAAAGAATTAAAATTAAAAACTTTCGTTGAGACTACCAAAAAATATGGCTTTTTCAAGGGACATAATAGAAGACCCCCTCCGTAACTTGTGAACGATAAGACAATAGAAGACCCCGGCTCTTCTTATGTGTCGAGGGCTTTACAGCATGTTACGAGTGATTTTTCAAAAAATTGCAAGCACACATCTAGCATTTTTCGATCGTATCAAAATCAAGGTGATATCTCGGTGTTTACTTTCAGAAGCAACCCAATTTTATTCATTGCCACAAAAATAAGTGTAGAGCAACTGTTGCTCGAATAAAGTTTGAATTTAGAAGGTGACACAGTTGTTTCATGATGAAACTATCTCTTTAACTAAGTATGCATCGACTAGCTAATACTGAATAGAATCTTATGAAATGCCCTGTTCGTTGCAAGGATCGTTGATCCATTTTCGATTGTGTGCAAACGCATGTGTATCAAGACTGCATTACATTTACACATCGTCATTTAATCGGTCAAGTTAGAAGTAGAGAGAAGACACGAAGGTGACTAGATGAATAATTAAACAGTCTGTTGACATCACTTCGTTCTTCTTTCTTTTGTGACCATCATTATCATCACCTTCCCTCATCTTTCGTTTTTCCATTGCGTGCACAGTATTGACGAACGAAAAAAAAAAAGCGTTTGAAACATTCATGTTTCCTATCATCTCTCTTTCTCTGTGTATCTTCATATTAGATAATGAATTAATAAGACACATGGTTGTGATGTCACACTTTTTTTTCTAAAACGAAAAGTACTTTGTTTCAAATGGATGCTTTGTCGACGTTCCTCCTTAACGAACGTTTTTGGTTGCCTTCAAATACAACTTGGAAAGATTTTACTCGACTTGAACAAGAAGAAAATATCAAGTTAACAAATCCAAAAGATCTTCTCTATGTTTTTCCTTTAGCCGGTGTAATTTATGTGATTCGACTACTTTTCGAGCGGTAAGAAAGAGAAAATATTATTTTAATTTACATGTTATATTGAAAGTTTTTTTTTCTTAGATATATTGCTAAACCGATCGGTCGATCACTGGGTATTCGTGATAGAGTTACAAGGAAAACAACAACGATATCAACAAATCGTAGTACGCCCGTAGATGTAAATCAAACATATAAACAACAACACGTAGCCAGTGGTGATAGTGCCACATCATCATCGGCAAGTCGCTATCCACGCATTAGTTCACTGGCTAAATTTAGTGAAACCTGTTGGCGTTTTACCTTCTATATAAGTGCATTTATTTACGGTCTTGTCATACTTAAAAATGTGAGCGTATATAAGTGTATAGATGTGTATTTATTCCTTGTATATTTAGAAATTGTGGACATGGGACACACGTTATTGTTGGTTGAGTTATCCTAATCAACCTCTAACGGCAGATATCTTTTGGTACTATATGATCGAGCTTGCTTTCTACTGGTCACTTTTATTTTCTCAATTCATCGATGTTAAACGAAAGGTATAAGTACAAAAAAGAAATGTTTTCTTGTGGAAAATGTATTTTTATGAGTTTTTTTTTTTTGTTGGTAGGACTTTTGGCAAATGTTTCTTCATCACATCGCTACTATATTGCTGCTCTCCTTCTCTTACATTGCCAATTTCGTGCGTGTCGGCTCATTAGTACTTGTCATACATGATTGTGCCGACTATTGGCTCGAGGTTGAAATTTTTCCAAATAAAAAAAAAAGTTTCTTATTCTCCTTCTAATCGATCAAGTTTTTTTATATTAGGGTGCCAAAATGGCCATATATGCGCGAGCAAAACAGACCAGTGATGTTATGTTCCTGATATTTGCCATCGTCTGGCTTGTCACCCGTATCTGCTATTTTCCATATAAGTAAGTAAATTAGATTATTCATTGACTCAATCATTCACAATCTCTTCTAGAATACTCTACACGACAGCATTCGAAGGAGTATCTATTCTTGGATCATGTCCTGCTTATTATGTATTCAATGGACTACTATTTCTTCTTTATGTTCTTCACTATTTCTGGTTCTATCTCATCTGTCAAGTTGCTATCACTGCTTTGAAGACTGGCGAGGTATGATGATCAAACTTCTTCTTATTGTTATCTAAGTTTGAGATTATGAGCAAGTATACGAACCATACAGTTAGAATAGAAGAAAGAAATAGAGAAGATATTCATTCACTTGTCTGAAATAGAATTTAAAAAAAAATTAATTTTCTTATTGTTTTATTGCAGGTGAAAGACGAACGAAGTGACAGTGAAGATGGCGATAATGACGACAAGAACAAGTGATACCCTACTCTTCCTTCTAACAATGAATTGGTACTCAAGATGCTTCCCATCTTGTTATTATAGTGCATGGTTGTTGGGACAATAATTTTCCTTTTTTCTCTACCAATATATTCGTATTTAATGATCAGAGCTATTGTTGGTTTGAATTTTTTGGCCTAGATCTGTAATTCTTATCTCGATCTAACATCAGGATTGTGATTTTAGGAAAAATTTTCGGTATAATTTTTTAGGAGTTTTGGTGACAGAATAGAGACTCAATTCTAATGCAGAGAATCGGTAGAGTCTTAGTGATGATATGGCTGTGGATATGTTGCGTGCAAAAAAGCGACTAAAATCCATAATCACATCTTCCATGCACAAGATCAATTTAATTCAATTTTTCTATATTTCTATTCGTTTTATTTCAAAAGAAATTTTAAATTATTTTTAAAAAAGCACGATAAAAGGACTGAAGACTTCTTTGGCTATAAATATATACATCTGATTATGAATTATTGTGAATAGTGGGATTTAGCATTCCGGATTTGGCAGATTTTATTCGTAGTGATGAATCTGATCCCCAATGAACAAAAACTGACAATCGAGGAGTTTAATCCAGAATTATTATAAGTAGATATTTGAAAAACTATCTTTATTCTAATCCAAATAATTAAACTAATTTACGACGAAATAATTTTAGTTCTTTTGCTGATACTATACGACAAAATGATATCGAGTTTGCTCAAGTAAACGGAACTCTATATGATCGTTTACCACAAATCATGAGTAAAACACAAATGATTGCACTCCTGCCGATGTTAACAGTAGTAAGTGCCTCACAAAGACTACTTCTCATTTAAATGAATGACATATAGTTGGTTGTAGTCATTAAAATTTAGAATGATTATATATTAAAAACTTGAAAGCAAGAATGCCTTGTCTAAATTCAACGACTGACTTTGTTGAATACGATTGTCGTTTTCCTATTTCCAATGTCGTACCCTTTTTCGAAATTTTTTTCATCAAAAATCCACGGAATGAAATACGAAAATTAATGAACTGGTAGTGCTTTTCAATGGAACAATAACTGATCAGTACCTATCTATAGATATGACATTTCACATGATCATGATGTTCGTTTTCCAAAGAAGTGAACTTGGAGATTTTTCAATATTTAATGAATCTAAGTGAAATGGAAACAATGATTTGGAAAATTTTGCTCTCGAAATTGCAATGGATAATAGATAAGTTAGAAAGAATTGGAGTACATCCGATCGGAATTCATGTTCTATCGTTTCGATTAACTGATTTTAAACTGATATCGGCACTTGTTTCATTTCTAATTTTTTGTCTTTACACATTGATTTATTACAGTAGTTTTATAAGCAAAAATATGCAAATAAATAACAATGATAGTCTTATCCGACCTTCAAATCTTGAATAACTTATCATCATAAGAAAACACGAGTAGGATTCTTTTTCGTTGATAGAAGCAGCAAAGAAAATATGTCAAAGTGACGAGCCATTGGTATTGGTTTCGTCGCTGGTAGATTCTATTATAAATAATTTTTTGTCTATTGAAGAACAGCATTAGATGAGAAGCACAGAACAATCTCTCTCTCTCTCTATGTATAATACAGCTTGTAATCCAATGTGTGAAATACGTATTTTTACAAATTACACATTGTATTGATCGATAGAATTCAAGAGAATTTATCGATTGATATGTACAGCCACGGAATCGTTATAATCGATCTAAAAATGCATGTTATTGTATTCAAAGAAATCGAAATAGGATATGTTCTCCGTTTGACATAATAAAGAAGACCAAACTCAATCATTATTATTGTTGATAGTAGTTGCTGATAAAAAGAAAAATGTTATTATTATTCTTATTTTAAATCGTAGCATGAAATATCTAATTCAATTATTAGTCAATATTCATATCGTCTTAGATTCATCGATTTCTGGCGTCTTGTTTATGATCATATAACATCAATAGTTATGCTAATCGAATCAATACCTCTTGACTAAGTAAATATCAAATCCATTTTTTAAGAAAACTATTCGTCAAATTATATCATTTTGGCTATTTGAAATCGTTTTCATATCACAAAAAAAAATGATTATCTTATTGAACGAATCCTTGAAATTAAATCTATAAATAACATTGGATTTGTACGTACTTTAATAGAGTATTGTTTCTAAAGTAAGAAAATAGTATTCTTGCCTATTGAAATCAATAGACAAAAGATTAGCGGTACCAGAATAGCATTAGAATTAACTTTTATTAATTCTATTACGAAAGTTCTACAACTGATCAAAAAATAATTCAAATTTATTATCTATTGTTAAAGAATCCGAATATATGCTCAACAATATATTATTTTTATAATGTTTGTAAGTAAATTATGGAGTGTTTTTTTTAAATTAAATTGAAAATCTTATTTGAGTCATGGTAGAACATAGTCACACTATTCTACTTTCAAATATTTATTGAAAAGAAACCTTTTTTGTTCCTTTGTTTGTCTCACTGTTTAGAATCAATATAAAAAATTATTTGTATTGATGCTTGATTATACATAACAATATTTATCTATTGTTATATCATTGCAATCATCTTGTTGAACATTCTCTTTATATGAATAGATCAAAATGATATAATCAATCTTTATAAAATAAACAATAAGAAATAAAAAAAATATTATTGTCGCACTCGATTATTCTGTTATGAAATCAAAATAGGAAAACCAAAAGAAAAGTTAATTTCTGAAACGATGATCGTTCACAATTTATTAATGTTAAAGCACTTTCATAACGATGTTGTAACCATTGAATATCTGCTGTACGCTCACGAATTTTACGTTGAATAACCATATACATTGCTAGAAAATTACGTACGAAAAGAATTAAATAGATTAGAGCAAGAACTTTTAACATAATTTGGCAATCAGGATTCGGTTCAGCATTTGAATCCAGTGATAAATTATAGAGAATATAAACATTAGGATTTGTTCAAAAACATCTAGCCCAACTTGGACATACTATACTTGTATATAATCCTTTATGAAATTGTCCAACTGCTGTATGTTTAAATTTTGGAAATTTCCTTGGGAACATGAACAAGTTCGAATTCAACATTGAACAATGAATAACGTAAGTTTTGTGTATTAACAGACCGTACTCTGAGCAATCTTTGAGAAACGAACAGTAGAATGCAACTATCACAAGCCAATCTAGCAACGACGCGCGAATAAGATAAGCTAACACAAGCGTGGACATGAAACCAAGGTTTTATTCAGATTTTTGCCTTCATCGGCTCAGTCCTGTGTGACAAAGGTCTCTCGATTCGATGCTGGATAAAACATTCAATGATCATTGGTAAAATTCTTTATATGAATTATTTCAATCTTCCTTACGGTCGTTCATTTGCTTATCTTATCTTTGTTTGTTATACCGATGTGCTCTTGTCGCACGATACCGAAAGCAGATTCTATTCAGAATAAAAGAAGTTTTGATGCAATGCATCTCGCAATGGTATGAGATGAAATGCTCAATGCTTTTTCTCAACACAATAGTAGAGCGTCGGTCGGATAAGCAGAAAATGTGAGATTTAAGTCCTGCAAAGGGCATTGGTTTGTTTTTTAGTCCGATCATTGGTATGTTAGCTGTATGTTCTACCCTTTATCGAGAATACTATGTAAGTTGAGTATTTCCTCAAAGTAGTTGATAGATTGGTTCGATTATGTAATCTCTTACTTGACTGCCTCGTTTTTCATGTAATCTTTAATAATATTCATGTATTGATGATCTTTTTTTCTTCTTCCGTTATTCGAACATCGTTGTTAGCCTATCCTCAAATCGATCTCTTGTTGCATTTAATGACTAAATGATTATTGAACGATGTTCTATATAGTTGAAATAGACATCCGAAAAAGAGAAATGGTTCTAAAAATGAAAATCCACGTAACATCCAACAATGAAAACTTTCGATTGTTATTTGTAATTCATCTGAATCATTTCAAGCTCTCAAATGATAAAGAAGACCTCGTTGACAATAATATAAAAAGAACTTGAACAAAACTCAAATATAAAGTAAATATAGAATGTTCTTTTCGAAATATTTTATATGATTGAGTTGATGATCATGTTAGAATAATAGCTGAACATACGGTTGATATAAAACGATGCAAACGTCACCAAAATTGTATATTTGAACCATTTGCAACAAGTATTGATTTACGAATTATCAATGTACAATAATACTAAACAAGTAGAAAATAAAAACCAGCATCGATAACACAATTAGTCGATCTTATTGTTGATATTAATAATGCTACAAATCATTATAAATAATGTAACACGTAATTTAAATTGTTCATAGTTTTCTTTCTATTTCCATTGTTAAGATTTATCTAAAATCGATACAGGTAATTCATTTTCAAGAATAATATGTAAATATGTTTCAGACGGTTACGGTAATATATATTTAATTTTTGTAAGAGATTCTGAACGTTGTTTAATTAAATGTTCATGAATTGTATCTAAATGGCTTAAACGTTCCTCTGATGTTTCTTCTCGTTTTTCACTTTCACGACGAATACGTAATAATTCAGATTTCTATTTTATTATTTTCGCGTTTTAATCATCATCCGAAATAATCATTAATGATTTATTTATAGAAATTAATCGTTTTAAATTTTTCATTTTTGTTTGAATTCGATTAAATTCAAGTCGATGTTCTTTTTTTAAGATATTCAACTTGTAATTTTGTTAAATATGTTTCATGCTTATGTTCAAATGAATCCATTTCGATTAATAATATTTCTCATTGTTCAAATAAGATCTTTTGCTCCACTATCAAATGTACTATTCGAGATCGTAGAACGATGACGTCTTCGTTTTAAACCATCGTTGGAATTAGCTTGTTCGACAGTGGTCATCGTTTACTTGGATGTGAAAAAAAGCAAACGAGCACCCTGTAGCCTTCAACTAATTTTATGCTATTAAGCTAGCGTTGACGAAGATATGGAAGAGAAGGATGTAGGTGTGGCGAGTGTGTGGGTGCGAGATGCTTGGAAAAAGACCTCATTGACACCCTAGGCATGCTTATTACTGATCAAGGAACACATTTTAACAATGAATTATTACATGCAATTTTTAATCTTACAGGTGGCAAACATATATTCTTAACACCATATCATCCACAAACAAATGGACAAAGTGAACGCTGAAATTCCACATTTGTAACACAAGTGGTGAAATTTTGCAATGATGATCATAATAGTTGGGATACCTGTTTATCATCTATTGTTTATACATACAATCATGGTATACATAGTTCTAATGGATTTACTCCCTATCAACTCGCGAGCAAGCCATATTACCAAATTTGTCAAGTAATACATTTGTATCGTAATTTTTTTCATCATTCACTGAAAACGTTTCTGCTTTACTCCTTGACGGTTACTCAACCTTTTTAATCAATCTATTTTTTCAAATGCTTCATCATTTAATCGTCATTCTTTGATTTTGCGCTATTTATTAATTCATTTCATCGACTTTATTTTTTTTTGTCTTTCTTTCTCTCTTTTTTATAAACATCTCTATATGTCTACTGCACACGTACAATTATTCACACACTATCTACTTTTCTTTTATCTTCTTTTCTGTTTCATCTTCGCAAAAGATTCGTTTTTTGTTTTTTTCTACACAGCTCTTGTGATCGGGGGAGGTGCTATGTTAGGTTGTGTCTCTCCTAACATAAGACGGGCCTCTCTATCTTCTGATGATGTTATCACTGTACATCATTGGCATTCGTACTCTTCTTTTCTCAATGGTATTCATGCTTTTGGATAAAGAAAGATAAAGAGTGAAATAAGAGAAAGAGAGAGCATCATATTCTTTGTTGCTTTTTTTTTGTTTTGTTTGATTCATTCGTTTTATGTTTTTTTTTTGGAAAGGAACATTTATAATAAAAAGGGGAGAGAAGTTTTAACAAGACTAACAAAATCAATCTATCAACAGTTAAGTCTCTCTTGGTCGTTCGAATTCTGTTCTTGATATTATTTTAAAATGTTGTTCGTTATAAACTATTTATTATTATAGACACTTGAGATCATGAAAACGACAAACTGTGAAATGCTGACAAACGTAGGCGACAGAAAACGACATATTATAGATCATAAATACTGTTTGTCTTTTTTCAACCCGATCACGTCAGAAAAAAAGAACGATTACATGTAAAAGAAGCGAATCGAGTATTGTTATTTCCACACTCATACACATACTATCAAGAAATGTTTTTTTCTTATCTGTTTGAACGTTTATTATATGCTTCGTTGTAATAGCGCACATGATAAACAATAACTAATAGTTATTTGCCAAGATTCATTATTTTTCTTTTCCTTTTAGGATGACGACAAACGAAAAGAATGAATATTCGGAATTTCTCCACGACATTTATCTCACCGACGATGATTTAAGCAATGAAGCCAAACGTCTATTCCGTTTTCATAGGGAAATTCTTGAAAGTCTAAATTATTGTGGTCATAGTGTTCTTTCCAATAATCTTCTTTCATCAGGAGGAAAACATATTATCTGTTCAAAGCTCATTCGTAGTCACAATAACGTCAAAAATATCCTTAACTATTTAGCTACCAAACCATTAGAAACAAAAGAAAAAATCAGTGATGTTCCAATGATTGTTATTTGTGGTTTACCTCGTACTGGTACAACATTATTACATAATCTTATGGCTTGTGATCCATCATGTCGAGCTCCTCTTGTAACTGATATGACTATGCAACCAATTCCACCTATTTTACGATCAAATATTGATGAACATAGACGTCGAGCAAAAATTGAAGCAGATATTGAAGCAAAAATATTCGAAACTGCCAAATGTGACATAAAAAAGTTTCAAAAAAAACTTTCTTCATCACATGCATTGTTTTCTGTTGAAGAAGATGTATTTTTACTCGGTGAAGTTGGAATACAACCTATATATGCCATTCTTGCTCCCAAAGAAACAAATCTTCACACATTGTACTTTAATCAACATAATAAAGATTTTGCATACAAATATCATCAGACTGTTCTACAAATGTTACATGATGTTGATCCACCACGCACACATTGGCAATTAAAAAGTTCAGTACATACATATTATATTGATACATTACTTAAATATTATCCTCAAGCATCAATTATTATGTCTCATCGTCGTCTTGACGAAGTACTTCCATCATTATATAGCTTTTGGCTTTCTGCTTTTTCTCATTATTTTAATGAAGATGAATTAATTAATTTGAAGCTAGTATTAGATCAAACAGTTCCAACATCTATCGATATTCGGATAGATCGTATTATCGAATTTCATAAACGAGAACCATCTTCAAAAAACGTTGTCGATATTCAATATGAAGATTTAATGAAAGATCCAATTGGTACTGTACATCGTATTTATGATCATTTTGATTTCTTAAAATGGTCTGATGAATTTGAAGAAGCAATGCGTAAATGGTTAATCGATAATCCTCAAGGAAAACAAGGACGACATTCATATTCTTTAGCTGAATTTAATTTAGAAACACAAACGAATAAACAACTTTATAAAGAATATGAAAAAATGTTTCTTTCAAAATAAATTAATTATTCAATTATTTATTAAAACATTCATCCAAATAACTTCTAAATTTAATAATTAAATTTTAAGTAAATAATAATTTGTTCATTTTCCGATGATATTATATGTTGCAAAGTTCAAATTTCTCAAATTGTATTGTGATCAACACAATACAATAACAACAATGAGTCATTTTAAATAAATTCGATACTTATTGCGTTCGTTTACTCTAATCTTGATATTTTCGACATCGTAAAGAACACACGTGCATTTGATGTTACTTTTGTTTTTAGTTGAAATATTATTTATCTGAAAGATTTTGTGGATTTATTTGACAATTGTGACAGTAGTATCAATATAATCATCTCAGAGAAAATAAAAACTGAATATAATCCTATTCATTCACGATGATCAATAATTGAAATTCAGAAATCATAGATAAATTGTTTGTCTGAATTAGAGCCCGTCCGGTCCAAAATTTTTGGACTTGGACCCGGTTAGTTAAACTTTTTCGGACCCTGATCCGACTAATTAAATATTTTTGGGCCCGAACCCGAACCCAATCACACTCTTGGTATTCAATAAAAAATTTTAATCCGCATCTGATAGTCGCTTTGAAACATACTCTACTCATTTCTCAAGCAATATTGAATGTGATCTTGGAAAAATTAAGTTATAATTGGCTCTTTTTCAGAGTAGCGTTCGTTGAGTCAGACCCGGATCTGGACCCGATCAAAAGGGATTTTTTGGATCAAGATCCGGGGCCAACTCGACGGGCTCTAATCTAGATTAGCTTCAGAT